ATATATATATATATATCAATCACAAGATAAAATGGATTAAAAACCGAACAGTGACTTAAGATCATTGAGAGTGAGCTTCATGGAAGCATTATTTTTATCACCACTTAACACACTGCTCGCTATCTCGAGCTTTCGCTCCTGCAAGGCTTTTACGCGTTCCTCTATTGTATCAACACAAATAAATCTGGAAGGAAAAATGTCCAATATTAAAACGAAAGAGACATATAAATGTAGAAATTAAACGTGATATACTAACTTGTAGATGAAGACGTTTTTTATCTGACCAAAGCGATAAATCCTATCTTGCGCCTGTGTCTCCAGCTGTGGGTTCCAATGATTGTCAAACAATAATAAATGATTGCCACCTATCAAGTTTAATCCTACACCACCAGCAGTAAGGGAGAGCAGCAAGATTCTTGGACCAGAATTTCGACTGTTAAAGGAATCCACTACATTCTGACACAAAAAAGACACGCATAAACATCCATTTTTTAGAATAAAATACAATAAAAAGTAAATGCTTAAATAGCAATCTATCATCTACAACATACTTGGCGATCTTTGATAGCAACATTTCCAGTAAATTTGCTAAATGTAGCATCCTTGATTGTAGGTAGGTGCGATGCTATAACATCTAACAGAGTGGTCCATTGAGAAACGATAATGAGTTTATCTCACCTTTTTGTAAAATTAATTAATATTAAAATCGCTTTGTTTTAGATATTTACCTAAAACGCCACCAGCCGGCCTTTGCTGTTCCCTCCACAGAAGCCATGCAAGAGCATGCTGCTGGTGTGGCATTAATTGTACTTTTAATCCCCTTGGATCTTCCGCTTTTTTGTGTTCTGATGGACGAGCAACGAGTGATCCATGCAAATCTTTTAATCGTTCCACTGTTAGAGCGAGTTCTCTATCTCTTGTCGCTTGTGCCTTTTTGCCTAATCGTTTTAGTTCGGGAAATGTAGTTGGATTCAACGGTATGTCACTAATATCAAAATCCGAATAATCTGAATAATCTGAATCATCTGAATCATCTGAGCCATCAGAATCATCAGAATCATCAGAGTCATCCAAATCATCCGAATAATCCAAGTATGATGCATTTTCGATGCGCATTGATTCTTTTGATATTTTATTTTCTTGGCTATTTAAGCTTTGCACCAAAGGTGTTTTTTCTAGGTCGAATGTCAACTTTTCAATTTCTGTTTCTTGTTCGCGTATACTTTCATGTACTCTCTGTCCTTTATCAGGTAATATTTCAATGTTCCCTTCAGTGAGCAATAACTAAAAAGTTTTTTATATTTAAAAAAATGTTTTTTTATATGCACAAATTATTTATAACATTAGTATTTTATTAATTTAAATGCACGATTATTACATATAAAAGTAGATATTTCTTTTTGTATCTACAATATTACATTAACTATAAATGAAGTTAAATATATCGCATATTTACTTTTGTTTTCGTTAATTGATCTTTAAACTGTTCTAATTTGCGAACCATAATTGCTCTTTTTTGTGTTACTAATGGATCTATATTTCCAACACCAATTCCTTGTTTCTCAGAAGATAATGCTACTTCGGATTCACTGTTTCGTCCAGAACTGGAATCTATAAATTACACAGGTAGATATATTACATGTGGAATAATTTACCCATCCATAAAAGATCAATCTTCATACACATGTTTGATGTTATAAATAGGATTACCTGTATCAAGCTCGATAGTCACAGCTACATCACGAGGGATTTCAATTTCATGCATTTTATTATCTGATATTTTATGATTTGATATTTCATGATCAATATCATTTTGTTTATGTAAATTATTATACTCAAGAGATTCATTAGAAGAATCGAGTTTTAATCCTTTTATGTCTTCTCTACTATTATCATGACTAATATCTTTCCTTTTTTTATTATTATTTTTAATCGGTAAATATGAAATAAGAGAATCTGTAAAACAGCATTGAATAAAAATACTAATTGTGATATTATTTTAACAGTAAATATCTTTAAAATATACAAAGTTGTATATAATGTTGCATAAAATATCATAATTTTTACCTGCAAGATTTTCTCTATCTGAATCAGAATCCATCATTTGTATTTTTCTCTGAACTATGCATTTGGCCAGGCCAGCAACTGGTGTATCATCAATGGATTTATTTCTGTAAGCAAATATTTATAGAAAATGTTCATTTTTATTAATATTTTTTAATAATACAAATTCAACATGGAATTATATTTATTACATATAATTCAACATATATTACTAATAATAAATTACATAGTATAATAAAATTGTCTAAAAAATATAAAAAGAAAAGGCAAGAAACTTTTTTAATAGAAACAAAATGCTATTAGAATAAGAATGATAGATATAGAAATATAAATAACATAATATAAAAAAATATAACTGGAACAAGGAAGAGAGAAACAAAAAGAATAAAAAAAAGAATATAGAAATGGTGAATGAATATGTAAGCATCATAAAAGATTAGAGATTCTAAATGTGCCACAGAGAATATCATAAATAAATTATGTATTATATCAAGAGAGATAAAGACTTGCAAAAATAATTTAAAAAATAATAATTCTAACAAAATTAATTCTAAGGATAATTTAAAAAATAAATAATTTTATGTATAGCTTGTGCAATTATATAGATCCATGCTTTTTATTTATATAATAAAATACGCCGCTTTTACGTAATAAAATTAAATGGTCTATGTATCAAGCAAGTGTGTAGAAAGAGAAGAGAGAGAGAGAGAGAGAGAGAGAGAGAGAGAGAGAGAAATAGAGATATCAAATCTTTAGTAACTTCTTGTGCTAAATAAGCCGAATAAGAATATATTTATAATTTTTTTATATATAGAAAAATTTTTTGTTTGGACATTTGTTTATCCGAAAAAACAATATTGAAGATTCACCAGGTACACGCGTGCACTTTTAAAGAGTTCAATACTATTTATTTTTTCTTTAAATAGAACCTCTATTCCTGCGCGCGATCACGAATTTTTTAATGGGTTTTGATTTTTATCACTTCTATAGAGTCCTTGTTCTTATTTATCAGTCTATGAAAATATCTCAATAATCAAATCTAGCAACGGACAAAGCGCCCACGGCAGATTTTAAAGACATCTTTAAAAAAGAAAAACTATTCTACAATTTTACATATCGATTGCATTATTGATTGCTGAAATCAACGAGCCGAAATCACAGAGTATTTCGATGTCACAATTTCGTTGAAATTAGATAATAAATCTGCGATATATAATTCCATTGTGAATATTTTTTTTCAATACCACTTTTGCACAAAAAAATATATATATATATAAGAATACTGTTTAAAGAAATACGCAGTATTAAACTTTGAAAGCACATACGCGTGTATCTGACGAATCTTCAAGATTGATTTTCTCGAATAAATAAATGTTTAAATGTAAGAAAAATTTTCTGTATATATAAAAAAATTATAAATATATTTTTATGCCAATATTGTCGGCGGTTCCTTTGTCATAAATGCGAGCAAAGATCATTCTCGCGTAACAACGTCATTGGGATTTGACTTCGATGAAACAATAACCGTTGGCGAAATACTCACTTTTTCGGCGTCGAATTTGCCAAAACATAAGAATCCCCGTCATAATTCTTGTCGGTGACGAATGCATGTCTGTCAAGCGACGCAGTAGTGAAATTCTCAACGACGTTATCTTCATCGCTGTCGGAAATGATGATGGAATCGCCGTCTAATCGGTATCTTTCGTGTATAAAACTCTGTTCCATTGTTCACGATTAAGACTGCACTGTACACGATTCGAATACTTTGGCTTATAGTCGTCTCGTGATCTTGTCGACTGTTGTCAATCAACTTCTACGCTGTCAGCTGTCAATTCTATTCGCTTCTTGTTTCGCCGACAACTTGTACAAACTCGTTCGCACTCGCATCGTCTTGTACCGCGGGACGACAACTGAATTTTGAATCTATTGCCAACTATGGTTTATGTCCCGAATATAAACCATGGTTGGCATGATCGCTTCATTTGACACTATGAAAGTTTCAAACCGTTTAATTGACCAATCAGAGGAAAGAGATCTTTGTCCTCTTTGTCCTGATTAGTCAATCGAGAAATCTATGGAAGTTCTCAATCTATATGTTTTACATGTTTTCAGTTTGCAATGATCTAGTTCAAGTCGACGGCCGGTAAAGAGAGTGTGGCGTGAATATCACCTTTTCTCTTCATCATGGCGGTGAGTGCGTGTCTTTGCCTCGAAAATGCTTATTTTGATCTGATTGTATCTCTTACATCGTTCAATTCTATTAAATATCATCTTGACACGGAAATAGTTCATGTTATTAATGAAATATAGTTAATGTTCGTTTTTTGCAAAGGCGACGATATTAGAAGTTGTCGCTGTGACAGGTGGATGAGATTGCACGCTTGTTTTTGATCGAACATCGGGACTCGTATATAACCTATTGTTATTGCTGTTATTAAGCTTGTTCAACAATAAAGTTTTTGGCTTCACCCATTTTCAACAAACTTCTCATTTAATTAATATTGATTTTATTTAATTCTCACACGCATACCGATGATTTACTGAAAATACGTTTTATCGATACCATTAGATGAATTAGAAGAGTATTAATCCACCGCTAGTATAATATATTTTATGTAATAAACTATATTTTTTACTTGTAGGATGTAAAGAAAGTGCCCGAAAAGAAGGTCGAAAAGAAGACCGACAAAAAAGCGAAGAAGGAACCGAAAGATGCATCCAAGAATGTAATGCGCGAAGTACGAATCCGCAAGCTCTGTTTGAACATTTGTGTGGGAGAGTCTGGTGATAGACTGACGCGCGCTGCCAAGGTGAGTTTTACAAGTGCATGTCGCTTCTTATTTTAATTGAAATCCTTGATATATTCGATTATTAAAATTAGTCTTTTATACATATAGGTCTTGGAGCAACTGACTGGCCAGCAACCCGTGTTCTCTAAAGCAAGATACACAGTACGTTCCTTTGGTATCCGTCGTAATGAAAAAATAGCTGTGCATTGTACTGTACGTGGTGCAAAAGCTGAAGAAATTCTTGAACGTGGTTTAAAGGTGAATCAAAGAATCTTTATTCACATTCTTTTTGTTTATATTGTGATCCTAATATATTATTTAATTACAGGTACGCGAATATGAGTTGAAAAAAGAAAACTTCTCTGGCACCGGAAACTTTGGTTTTGGTATTCAAGAACATATTGACCTGGGAATTAAATACGATCCCAGTATTGGTATCTATGGTTTAGACTTCTACGTTGTTCTTGGACGTCCAGGTTAGCAATTAATATAACTTTAAATATTGAACATTAGCACATTATCTGGTATCATAGATATCTCTATTTTATATATGGTGATATCTATAATTATATTAAATATGTGCTAGAGAAAATGCTTCATATTTGCAACTCATACCCACTTCACTTTACTGGGTGTGTTACTTAATTGATGCTACACTTAAACAATAAATATTTCCATAAAATTAATAAAGAAATTAGAAAAGTTCCATATTCTTCATATATAAAAGCAAAACACAAATTATTAAACTTATATTTGATTTGTAGGATTTAACGTAGCACACAGAAGAAGGAAAACTGGTAAAGTCGGTTTCCAACACAGGCTTACCAAAGAAGATGCAATGAAGTGGTTCCAACAGAAATATGATGGAATCATTATAGCTGGAAAGAAGTAGTGCATACCTTGTATTTTGCAATTATATCATAAAAAATTTTAACAAAAATCTATTGTGTAGTAATATATCTAAACACCTCATATTACGATGTCTTAATTGTGCCTTCAAACTCTCTGCTCAAAATTATAGATAATTATTTAGTAAACTAGTGTCAAGAGTTTTAAAAGAATGACTATATTTTTTTAAATATTGATATATTTAAATTTTTATTTGGACTTTCACATTTTGCTTACAATACAATCAAAACACCGATGAACGTGAGGCTAAATTGAGGAGATATTTAGTTCCTCATTGCAATGTATAAAAATAAGGAACGAGAGTAAAAATATAGGTGGAGTTTATTGAATTGTACGTAATTATTAAATTCGCAGAAAAAATTGTATCGGAGTAAAATCACATTTTTTAAATTTTTATTTAAAAAATGTGAAGTGTCTATTCTAACATTTCAAAACATCTCTTGCATTGTCATTATCAGTAATATTTTTGATGGAATGACATATTGGAATTTTATTATAATCAAGCTTACTTAGGCCTAACATTATAACATTCGCCAAAGGAACTTTATTATAAAATGGATATTCTCTATAACAGACATTTTTCAGAATTAGAAATGATTACTTACATTATATGAAATTTGTTTTTTTTTTTTTATCTTGGACGTTTTGATATAATATTATTTGATATATTATTATTGGCAATATTTCTATTTTTTAATTTATAAAATATTTAGTATAGAAGAATGTAGCTTCAAGAAGCAATTTAAATGTGGTATGAATATTCACACTTTTATTATTGGCACCTCAGATGTATGTTTTTTTCAAACTAATTTTGTCGAATTATAAAAATTCTAACTATAACGAAATTTTTATTTTTATCTACAACTATCAAAAATTTAAAAAATTAAAATATAAAATGGAAATTATTTATATTTTATTTGACAATATTCTTATTGCTAAACATCCAGAGAGAATTTAAATCGTCAACATTTATCAACTTTAAACCAATAGTTTGTGCCACAAGTATAAATTATAATCATAATCAAATATTCATGCACAATAATTTACCAACTGCCAGATCTCTCTCTTTGGTTTTAATTAAAATACATGAAAGTATCTCAGAAATAAATAATTATAATTACAGTAAGATAGGAATTATGTTGATTGAGACGCTTACTAATAGTTGCACTTGAATATCCTTTTATGAGAACTATTTAACTTGAAGTTACAAGCAGATAAAAAGGCAAGATATATCCTTCAGTCTCTATAGTGTTACCTTATCCGGACGTCATATCACCAGACTTTGATATAGATAAGTATATACAGGATGATTCGAAGTTACTACGCACAACAAGACATACATACACAATTAAATAGTCTCTCTAGTTATTCTAAAATCAAGTTCTTCCACATACTTGAAGATTTGTAAAATGGGCAGAAACTCCGATTCATCCTGAATATATGTATATGTGTACTTGTATAAGATATATATATATATATATATATTCATTTTATTTATAACAAGTAAATATATAAATAAATTTATTTATCTATGTTCTCGGGGATCACGATGTAATAACGGAAAAGATATATTCAACTTTCGTACTCGTACATGGGCACATGCATTTCAAATAATTATATAAATCCTTGAAATCCAACTTCAAACTCCTTCATAATCACTTCTTTCATTTATATCACATATTTCTTGCTCAATTTTGGAATACTTGTTATGATATACACAATGCATGCGTTAATTATATCATTGAAAGAGTAAAACGTGATTTGCAATAACTAGACAATATATTTTCTTTCAAGTATAACTAGAATATACTTATGTACTAGTTTAGAGCATGCAAATTGCACGAATGATACGCATAATATTAAATTTGTAATACATGGCCTTTGCAGAGCGTCAATGCAACATACAGCCGTAAATAAATTCAGTCTATCCAAGTCGCGTGTATGTATATAATTTACGTTTTTAAATCCCAGAACTTTATATATATATTAAACTTTAGATATATATTAAAAAATAAAAGCAATTTAATTTGTCCGAAATTGTCAGATAACGCGTATTAAAAATATGATACATATGTGTGCGAGAAAGAGTTGTAAAATATTGTAACAAAATTGTCATATTTAGATCTCCCGAATATGTTTAGTTTATATTTGTTTCATACTATCAAAATGTGCTGTTTTTCTTTATAATTTTGTATTGTACATAAATAACAACTAATGAGAAAATATAAGATATGATTATGAAAGATCCGTATAAACTTCATGGTTGAGTTCTGGAAAAATTGAGAAGAGTAAAAATTGTTATCATAAAAACATAATTTGTTTTCTCTCGCTATAAAAAAATATACTAATTAATTTTCACGATAAATTTTTTACTTCGCTAACTGAAAAATATCCATGAAGTTGATACAAATCTATCAGATACACAAACTTTAAACGTTTATTTTAAAAAGTTCGATTTACCAACAAACTGAATGAAAATGTTAACATTTGGGTGTTAAATCTGATAATGTAACACCACTCATCAACAGCAATATTACTTCTTAATAATGAAGAATTTTAAAAAAGTGTTACTTCCTCGCCGATCGATAGAGCCTCTCGATGTTATGCTTCTCCGCGTCTGTGAAGCCCAAGATACTTTCAATAGCATTTAAGTGACCGTGATGATTCTCCTTATCAGTAAGAAAATAATAGATTGCCGACTTTAGGAACTGCAAGGTAATTTCTGGATCGAGAGTACCCTGACTGCTTCTCGCCTCTACAATACGCCGATACATTGCCTAACCAAAACAGAATGACATACTTGTTAAATAATGAAACTAGAATATCGTGATATGTAAAGAAACACATTGAAAATATACAACTGTTTATGCATATAATTGTGTTTTGAATCAATTTTGAATCCAGGCACACATTCGTATTTGTAATTTTCAATGTTCGCGTACATTACATAATACATGTATATTAATGCATCTATATAATTGAAAGTTATGTGTGTGCAATTTTACATTAATTCATAATAACATCATCGACTTTAAAATGTCAACTGGAATCAAAATGGTTCATCTCAATTCAATGATAATATGATATACACATCTTATATGCAATAGTGGAAGCGTGCATTGGCCGTAAGCACGTGCAAACTTACATTAGCCGAAGATATAAGAGGCTGTTTCTTCCAGGTGCATTGGATAATATCGCCCGATCTAAGAGCAGTATGAGAGTATCAACCATCTACATTTGTGCCTCATAATCCACATGCAATTGTTGCAGCAAAGCATTCACTAACGCGGATGTAAAAGAAAGAGAGATACGAGCGCAATTGTGCTTTCCACACGCCCATATCAAGAACTGACTCGCCAACTCGTAAATAAAATGCATCCCTGAAGTTAATGACATTACTGTCACTTATGAATGAGTGACGATAAGTCTGAGGTAATATTTGTATTTCTTAATAAGTTACAAAATAACTCAAGCCGTTAAGAACAAGTTATAAACAATTAATTGATTACTGTACCTCTGATTAATTCTATTTATTTTCAATTTAAAGAATTTTTATAAGAAGTTTATATAAAAAGAAGGACTATAATGAGCATTATGTTTGTGTCAACATCAGTTCTTGATATAATACAACACTGATAAAAAATCGGTGCATATTATATGAAGAAATGCTACATTTACGGGCGTTAAAAAAGTGGATGAGGATTGCGTCACGCAATCGAATTAGGATACAGACCTTACGTGTGCCAAGGACCCAGAGAGAAACAGCCTCCTGAGCGCTTAATAAACTTTGGCTATGTTCGGCTGAAATGTGAGGTTCAGGCGAGTAGCTTGTGTCCTGGAGTGTGAGCGGCGACCAAAAAAAGTGGCACATCGTTAGTACAAGAATATTGTGAACTACGAGAATGCTCGAAAAGTGATGTACACACTTTATAAGTGTGTGATAATGTGAAAAAAAGATGAATAAACGATGCGTCTCTGAGAAACGAATGTAAAAGCTGATTAGACTGCGTAAAAAAACTCATTCGAGATTCATCAGGCGTGTTATTGTATTAGCATGATTAAGATCGCGAGAAAATCTCGCTCTTTCGCAAGTGTGAGAAAATCGATAAGATCATTACGCAAATTTCAATCGTTCTGTTTTAAATAGAAAACGCACACCTACTAGAAAAAAAATACTAATGATCAAGCGAGAAAGAATGCAAATGTCAAACTAATAAAGAACTCTCATATTATGTGCAAATGTTGCGATGCATTATGAAAGCTTGTTAATGACAACAAAAATAATAAAAATTTTCACTGCAAAAACTGTATTAATAATAATTAATGTCTCTGAAACGTTTAATTTTGTATATTTCAAATTAATGCCAATTTAAAATAATCTTGCACAGAATATACGAAATAAAATTTTAAAACCAAACTGCAATGTTATGTTATCTACTGCTATATTTGTCAAGTTTTAAGAATGGTAAAGTGCAAATAAACAGTACTCACCTTAATATTCTCTAATTCAGCTTGTGTGACGGTTAGCTGTTGAAGAAGTTCCGCGACGGTAACTTTAGGCGGTGATTGATGCGCTTGCACGAGAATCTATAATTTTGCGAAAGGTATTCAAATATAGTATCAAATTTACGTTTTTCACATATATCTTCAATACTTCATGTCATACCTGATCAGCTTGTTCAATGCGCGCGGCTTCTTGACCTTTGGCATACATTTTCAGGTACATTTGCTTATTTCTTTCCTCCTGCTCGCTTAAGAGTGCTTTCTGTTCACTAAGCTCAGTCTTCACAGCCTCCAATTCCGCTTCTAATTCACGTACACGAGCCTCCGCGATATCTACGGTTGGCCGTACCTCGCAGTAACGTGTGTTGACCTCAGACAGTTGATTGAGCAAACTTTCCACCTGGATAATAAATTTGTTATCAATAAGTGAGAAATAGCAAATTTTCTTTTAAATTCATATGAAAAAAAAAAAGAAAAAAAATTGCACACAATGTGTCTACCAAATGCAAAACCTTCACCTTATCATTATGCTTCTGCTTGAGATCCTGCAACTCGTCAACGTGCCGTCTGTGCATATCTTCGATTCTATTCTCATAATGACTAACCAATTGACGTCTCTCCTCATCTCGCTCAACGCTCGTCGGTGTTGTAGAAATCGTATCAGGAATATCGCTGGATTGTACCACAGCCGTGGTGATAACAATCTCCGGTTGCGGCTCAGGCAGGCACACAGAGTCTTTCGAATGGACGGAACCATCTTCAAAGTGTCCGGAATCAGCTAACGACGGGGGAACATCCGTGTGTAAACGCTTCTCCGGCGTTTCCGGACTGGTGACGGATTTTTCCACGATGTTCTCATCCGGAAGATCCTTGCTCGGCGATTCTGGCGAGAAGGGATTGTTCTCGCGCACGGTGAGAGCATCGCTGCTATCCGTTCGCTCATCCGGACTGTTCAGAGAGGCCTTGTACAATCTCAATTCTACAACCTCCTTCGTCAAACGTAAGAGTTCCCGGTCTTTCTCCTCGATCTCTTTACGCGCCTCTTTCAACAGAGCCTATAAAGACATATCGACCAAGATAGAGATGCATATAGTCGCAAAAATAACGTAATAATTATTAAATATAGAGTATCTCAAAACTACCGGATATCCTTTTAATGAATTTAGATTCTCAGTGAGTTTGCGACGCCTTGTATGTGCATAATTAACTGTTTAAGCGCCAAGTTTTTTCGCCAATTACAAATTTTTAATTTGACATATATATATAAATGTGTGTGTAATTTAAAAATTAAATTCCTCCGAATTAAATGAAATATTATTAATCTGAGAGATAAAGAATACATCTCGTATATTATGCTCAATATCAGCAAAGAACTAATGAAGTAAAAGTGAAATAAAAAAAAATATAACTGTAAATGTATCTCGTTGTTAGCCTAATTACCTGAAACTTCCTGACTTGTCTGGCCGCTCTTTGAGTAGGCGTGAGATATTGTTCGTTGTCGCCGACGTGATTCGAACAATGCACGACATATTTTCGCGATCGACCAGACCAAGTGGTGCCGTTCAACGCGAAGGATGCGTGCTCGCAGGCACTTGCCGTACTGCAAGCGCTACTATAACTCTTCACGCTCTCGACATCGCTGTCATCGTTGGCAATTCCCGTCGTTCCTCCAGAGGCCGCGTGACTTGGCCGCGGCCTCACCGGTGTCAGTGAGAGACTCTGAACGGTACATCATTCAGTTAACTGAGTCCGTTAGCGCGATTCATTTAAAAGCAGAGCAGACAATATACATATTACTGTTAAATGAATTTTGACAGAAGTTGAGTGAGAAAAAATTAATGGTTCCTTCAAGAAATATGTAAAGAAGCTATTCATAAAAATTCAAAGATATCATGCTGATATACAAATAGTACGTTTAAAAAAAAAAAAAAATCGTTTTTTAAGGGAAAGACTATGTATACATGAATTATTTATAATAAGCTTGCGTCAAGTCAAATATAATTCGAAATTTATGAAATTAATTATTAAAAATAAAAAGAGCTCTTAAAAGCATTAAAATATTAGTGCTAACTTTCGTTGGTGCTTCTCACAATCAATTATCTTCAGACTTTTCAGATCTTTAAATGAAAAGAATGAAAAAAAGAGGTAAGGTAACGATTTGTATATATATGATAGTTCACAGAAGTCGATACGTGGGCGGATTTATAACGGGGTGCCTACCTGTTGGATTATTTCTCATATTTATACTGCGCGCTTAGGATAATGACATTCGTCCGGAATATATCTGGTCACGCGAGGGGAACAGACCCGACTACCGTGACCTACCGTGCAAATTAATATGAATCAACGGAATCTCTAAGTTACGTCTAGCGAATAAAGGTAAAGATTTCCATACGGATTCCGACGTATAACCGCATGCAAAAGTCAAGAGATCAATTCCTTCGCACTATAGACTTGTCGAATACCTTGGCAGATCTTGGAAAAACGAGAGAGCGGCGATATCCTTCACTCTAGTAAGTCTTAACAATAAATACGCTTTCCATTACATCGTGCAAACGGACAAGGCGCAAATATCAAATGTTCAGAATAAAATATTCAGTGCACATTCACTTATGCGTCAAGCAAAGTGCGCAGATCGGTCTCGGGGACGTCATTCAATTTTGAACGCGAATTGTAGGATCATCATCATTCATGTCTCTTTAGCTCTTATTTTTTTCGTGAGAATCGTCCCTGCTTATAGTCGTACTGTAATTGTCAATTTTAAAGTGAAAGGAATCCGTCTATAGGACGACCGAGAGCGACCGATCTACGTCTAATATGCAATGATATTGACAGTATTTCGAGATAACACGATCTTCTAAGCAGCCGGATGGTACTCACGAGGGATCGTTGTCGCGGCGAGTCGGTTCCATTCTCCGTGATGACCGGAAAAATATGATGATCCGGATGGTGATGCTGCTGCGACGATTGCAGGAGGTGGTTGTGACGACGGTGATGCTGTTGGTGGCCGATCAGGGCCGCGGCGGTGGTAGCTCGCGGATGATGTGGTGGTAGTATCCGTTCGCCGCGCACGCGCAAACTGGCGGCGCGACGCAGAGCCGACGGCGATGGCCTCGGTATACGGGAGTCCAGCGAAGACGTCGGCGAGGTGGCAGCTATTCGACATGCGTGATCATTTCATTAATAATTAATTCGCGGAAAATGAACTGATGTTGCGCGTGGGCGATCGCGGAGGAAGGTCGTTGTTTCGAGATCGAATATATTATACAAGCTTTAAAAAAAAAAAAAAATTTAAGTATTTTGCAATAAGCCCGTATCAAAAAAATTCAAAATTATTGAAAAATTAAACAATCTGAGTTAAATTTTTTAATTATGTTATTAAAATGGGTTCTTTTTCAAAGAATGTAGATCGGAATAAAACTGGACCGCAATGAAACCGAAATGTGTTAATTATATGTCATCGAACTTTTCATATCTATTCTCTATATATTGGGTTGAACGGAAAGTTCGTGCCGTTTTTTCGGTTTTCATCTCTTAGTAAAAAACGGAACAAACTTTCCGTTCAACCCAATAGTTTGTTCCATAGGTTTTCGAATAACCGTCAATAGCCGAAAAAACACTTTTCGGTACATTTGAAGTACCGAAACAAAAGTTGTAGAGAATTAAATTATCTTTCAAATGAGATCAAAGTTATTGTATTGAATTTATCACTTATCAAAGTACAGCAGTTTTCAATTAACATGTTCAAAGCCGCATTCCGATCTCAATTATAGAAAATTAAATTTTCTATGGAAATATTTTATTCATTATTACATCTTATCATATATATTAATGATAAATTAATAACATAGTAAAAGATTAATCATTCTCAAAACAATTGTCGAAAGTCACTTCTTTAGATAATTCCATAAATCAAATGAAATGCCATGCTGATTTAAAATATTTGAAATTTAAACTACTTACTAAATATGAAATGGAAAGAGAGACATTTAAAGAAATTATCTCCCTAATTGTTCCGAGAAAGCATATTTCAATAATCGTTGACTAATTAAAATCCCTCACAGATTTTTCCATCGACTTACTAGGACTATCAGGCGACCCGACACTTGGCACATGGATAGAGCTGATAGTAGTGGCGACCTTGGTCAGGTTGATAGAGCACGTTGTCGTCGTTGGCGTCGTGGGAGACGTCGAGCCCGCAACGTAAGTTGAGTGACCTGGGTGCATCGGCTGCAGGAAATGCAGGGATCTCTCGCTGCCGTAACGAGCCATTCTGTTCATTCAGTTTATCTCCAGCGCATCACACGACGACTGTCACCTGGATACGACACATGTCCCAAATGCTTGATGATTACAAAGAAATATTTCTTTCGCAAATGTGTGATAAAAATGATCATTATCGGAGTGTCTTATCGGAGATAATATTGCATTCAATTCTGATATATACAATAAAGTATCGCTTATTTTCAAAACTTAAAAACTGAATAACAAGATTCATAAAAAAAGAGCACAAATAAAATTTATAAAAAAAATTACCATATAATATAACGTATACATATATTCTAATAAATATATATAAAATATAGATGATTCGATTCTTATAAATCATTGCATCTGCATAATCGAATATATGCGTTGTAAAATCAACATTTATATTATTATTTCCATAGATAATAAATATAAATGAAATATTCCAACGCACAAGTTTTATCTTGTTTTATCAAATAAATTATATGATGTTATCGCGTTTAATTAAAGTCAGAAAATTTTCTGACTTTAATCTCGCCTAGAAATTTATTTAGAAAACAACATCAGAGAGTTTTATTTTTCGGCAAGCAATTTATCTTCCCAGAAATGCTCGAGGACGTATCGATTGGACGAGGCGCTGTCGTTCGCTGAACCTAGGTCAGTTTTCTCTCGAAACCATTGTTCCTTACTTTCAGCATAATATTTTCCGCGCAGACTTGGACGAATTTCAAAATTTATTTCTTCTCGCGATGCGCCATTTAATTTTACCCAGATTCCCGACCGCGGAATACAATGTAATACGATATGTTGAGCAATGAATTATTTCGGAATCGATAAGAAAATTTTTACAAATATAAGAATACTGCGTTATATAAGAATCGCGCGCGCGCGACGCGTATAAAAAATTTTAGAAAAAAAATTTTTCGTATTTTTCTATGTCACACAGAAGCATTAAATTCTATTTATATAATACGTTCAACTGAAACGTGAACTACGGAGCGTTTTTATAAAAATTTTTTTAAAGATTTTTTATAAGAATCTTCAAAAAGTCTGTTTCAGTTTTGAATGTATCATATAATTTATATAGATTATTTTTTATTTTACAACAATTAATACAATGTCTCGCAAATAAATGATCAAACGAGAATCTGGGTTATTTTGAGGAATCGCGGACATCCACAGAATTGGTAAGACCTCGACATTATTCGCACAATTATCAAGTGCTTTAAAGCGTGTTGTACGCGGTAGTTAACTTCGCGTGTATTTCATCCTTGTACGCGGAAGCCGGATACGAATCGTAATTTTACGGTGCACCTTGGAACAAATACGTAGAAATTGCGTAAAACGATTTCAAAAGTGCAATTGTAAGTCCCAAACGCACACACCTCAATACATTTGACTCTTCCAAACGATACAAAAAGGTCGTAAAAAAAGCAAGCAAAAAGCGAAATTACGATATACGATATGCAATTTTCATGGATGCATATAAATAAGAAATATAAATTGCGAAATAACAGTGTGTGATGATGATTACTTTAAATTACTGTAAATTATTGCAAATTACATATTTTAACAAAAACAGAGAAAAACAAGGTTCGAAAAATCATTCGTTTTGATTTATTTTTAAAATTTACATAATTGCAGGGAAATATATATATATCTAAGAAAAACAAGCACCTTATAAATTTCGTAGACTCAAACAAGTATGATCAATTAAAAACCATGCAGAGTAACGTGATCCATATATCACAACAAAGAAAATTTAGCAATTATTTCTACGCTTAACTGCAATTTTTAAATTATACCCATACATTTAATTTTAATAAAAAGTTTAAATAAAAAAGAATTTTTTTTAGATAAATATAACATACATATATGTTACAAATGTAACATACGAAGAATAAATTCATCTATTCTTTCTATCTGCGAGATTCTAAATTTTTCCAAATATCTTTCGAGAAAAATATCTTTACGAACTTTTCTTTTTTAAAGTGCAAGATTTTAGAGAATAATAATAATAAAAGTAATTGAACGTTTCAGCACATTTAGAGGACTTATTATGTAAATACTCGATGATTTCCAACAACGTCCAGCTTACGAAATCGCCGAGAATGACTTCGGGTGACGGTAATAACGTCATCGTGATCGTAACGAGCGATAGCGAGAAAACAGTCGAAATGAAGTGAATGGCGCGAGAAGGAAATTCCGCGGCCTTTATCGAAATAAAATAATCGATCATGTTCTATTTCAAGGATACGCTGCGGCTTTAATGCAGCGTTTACACGCGGACGAAAATTTTACGTCAATAAAAGAGAAATTTAATATCACACCCGTAAATGTTTTCACGTAAAGCGATATTTGTAGTACGTAAAATTATTTCTTTCTTTCGTACTGATTTCCTCTGCAAAAACTTCAAACAGAATGATACACACATAGACATTCTTGTATACTCTCTCTAGATACATATATAAATAATTAATATAAATAATTAATAGATTAATAAAATCTTGAAATAAATTTCCTCGAACAAACAAGAGAAATAAATCCCCCCCCCTTCAATAAATAGATTCATATACTACACTTTCCGTATGTACGAATTGAGTTTAATCAGTCGACTATTACGGAAACAGAGAACAGCACATTACATAACACAAATAGACTAATTATACGAAAAATGGGATGTTAACGATAAGTTGGTGAATATATGTTAGTATTTTATTTGTTCAGATGTGCGAGGAATTAACATTTACTCTGCGCAAAACCAGCTATAATTTTCGACACGTTGATATTTATTATTTGATTTTTTTTTGTGTGAAAAATATCGATATTATAGACGACTATTTTCTGTGTGTTGGTCATGTATTTTTAATGTAATTCACGATATCTCGCGATAAGACGTTAGACATTGCAAGTTTGTTTTTTTTCAGCTGCACATTATGTTACACTTTCGAAATAGAAATCGAGTGTTGGAAAGAAAGAGAAAAGATAGAGATTGAAAGAAGCGTATCCAGGAGATGCAGTCAAAAAAAGTAGACCTATTGTCAATTTACCGCCAATGATTTGCGTATTTTTTTTTTTTCACCGTATGACATTCGAAAACATTTTCGCGGCGTCTACACTTTCGTCTCTTTCTATTTTTCTCTTGAGCGAACTGTGTACGTAACATATGTACTTGATTACAGATCTAAAGACTTGAAAGAAGATCAAGAAAATCGCGGGCACTCACCTCGATGAAAAACATCGGTATCGCAGGAACCACACTATTGTTCGCTTATTTGTCCAAAAGCTTGATATCCCAAAAAGCTGCTCGACTTGTTCGCCGACAGTATCGTCCACCACTGTGCGAAGCGGAATGACTGGCGAATGAATGACGCCTGACGAACGTCGATCCTCGTACACCGTCGGACGGACAGCCACTGTCAGATATAGACGGGCCACGTGGGCTTTCAGCTCCTTCCGAGTCGGGGAATCCGTCTCCCGCGTTTCGAACGGCGTGAATGTTACCGAAGGCAAATTCACGCGACGAATCGGCGGCGAAAAACGGGGTCGCGTTGAAGGCCGTGACGCGTATCACCGCACGTGACGTTAGCAACGAAAAGTTGCGATGATGGATGTTATGTATGTATGTATGTACCCGCAATCCCACACCGAGCGATCTCTTGATCCAATTCGGACAACTCAATGGACAGCACGCGGCATCTGACGATTACGAAACGAAAGTTCGATGGCGTGATTTCATCCTTTTTTTTGCCTTGTCAACACGCGATATTTTTTGCAATAATATCGAGGAGCTTTTTATCTTCCGTTACAAAGCGCGTGTAATAGCTTTCCAGTTGAACGATGATACATTATCGAACATGTGCGAATTAATTATAATTACCTATTGTAATCGATGTACAAATATTCTTTTATGCATTATTCCTCGCTGACAGTGTTTTTAGAAATTCACGTGTGTTTAATAATTGCGTTCAGAAAACAATCGTTATGCAATCGTCGAGTAGAGATTGTCTGTGATTGGTGTCTGGATCTACCAATCAGGTGCGTTTTTTGAAAATTGGTCACTCGATTGTTGTTTTTTGAACGCAGCCATTTTATCATCTGTTCGGTAAATTTCGCGTTTCGATCCATCAAAGGTGGCTAAGCTGATTGTGTAACCGTAAACATGGCTGCTTCCTTGATCAGGACGTGTACGGAATTCAGGTATCTATTTTTCTGTCTAAAGAGACGATGTCATGATGATTCAAATTGCGTCTTCAAGTATTTGTTGAGAAATTTGTTTAATATGTGAACAGTGTGAGAAAATACAAGTTTCTTAAAAATTAGAAACATAACCTATCCAATTGTATATGCTATGATATCGGCTTAATTCCCCTTTTTCTTAAATATAAAAAAGTTCGAAATGTAATAATCTGTATAAATTACATGTTATAGGGAGAATTCTAAATTGATGAAAAGTACATATTTCCTGTCATACTTTTATAATTTGCAGTTTACTGAGACAACAACTCTGCGAAATTGTCAGAAGTGATAATGCAAGGAAGCACATCTTGCCCACTTTGTTTCTCACATGCATGCAATGCCAGCATTATCATATGACACCACAATACTTCAAGAACAGTTCAACAAGGCTGAAGGTAAGTTTCCAATTTTTTCTATATACATAACTATTTAATTTTTAAAAATATTGTGTATATATTATATCGAAACTGACATTATCTATAGGAGGTGAATAGTTTCAAGTTGAAAACAAAAAAGAAGTTACCAGTTGTGGATATATGGAACAGAATGACAGTATCGGAGCTGGCAAGATCTGCAAAAAGAGACATAGATGATATTTTTGAAGCAATTTTTATGTCCGATTCAGTTAGACGTTACAATAAAGATACTGTCATAGAAGATCAGAATGTATTGCATGCTGCTGTACGGAAACTTGGGGCAAAGTTTAGGGTGATTTCTAAACCAGATACCAAAGTAGAAAAGGATACAAAGGATCATGATGCCGTTAAACGGTATTGGATAATATAATTAGAATAGAACTAATCAATTATAGCATAAAAGAGTGGCTATATTGTATTGTTTATATCTTATTCATTAGACCTCTATTGGATGAATCCGTACTAAAAAAACGTCATCCAGTAGTAACAATTATGGGTCATGTTGATCATGGCAAAACTACATTGCTAGATACATTACGTAATACATCTGTTGTTAAAACAGAATTTGGTGGTATCACTCAACATATTGGAGCCTTCAATGGTAAATACGATTTTGTTTATTATATATTAATAATTGATTACGTATCATATACATAATAATTATTAATTATATTACATAAGAAATTTTCGCAATTTTACTATTTTAACCGACAGTAACATTGGAAACGGGAGAAAGAGTTACGTTTTTGGATACTCCCGGACACGCTGCGTTTAATCTTATGCGAATGAGAGGCGCGCAAGCAACTGACATCGTGGTACTTGTGGTGGCAGCAGACGATGGTGTTATGGAGCAGACCATAGAAAGTATACAAATGGCAAAGGCCGCAAATGTTCCGATTATTGTGGCTATCAATAAAATCGATAAACCCGAAGCCGATATCGTAAGTTATTGTCGATTAATACAGAATGGGAAGCATAGCAATATAGTTTACTGTCTGAAAATGATCATGAAAATTATAATTTATAATGTCTATTTCAGGAGAGGACGCAAAATATGCTTGCGCAACAAGGAATTCAGGTAGAGGCATTAGGTGGGGACATTCAGTGCGTTAGTATTTCGGCGTTACATGGGACTAATATAAATACTTTGACAGAGGCTATAGTGTTACAAGCCGAGCTCATAGAGTTAAAGGGCGATCCGACAGGACTAGTTGAAGCTGTCATAATTGAATCCTCTATCGATCGTTATCGCGGCAAATTAGCGACAGTCTTAATTCAACGCGGCACTTTAAGAAAGGGCGCGTTTCTTGGTAAGGAATGTTTCAATCCAAGAAAGAAAAGTATAGAAGACGAAAAAAAAATATAAAAGAATACATAAATTCTATTGGAAAAGGCTCAATCAAATATTCTTAAGAACAAATTTTTGTCTATGCTTTTTTTTTTAAATTTTTAATACATTTTAAGATAGATTTAGAAGTGATGATGTGTGAAAAACATTCTGCAGCCTTGAATATACAATTCAAACCAAGAAAAACCTTGAATATAGTCCGAATTTTTACATATTTAATTATCTTTTTGTTTGATAATAGTGAGTGGATTAGCATGGGCTAAAGTGAGAGCCATGTTTGATCATTCTGGAAATCCAATTACGGAAGCTAAATTATCTGAAGCGGTGCAGATTATTGGATGGAAAGATTTACCCTCTGCTGGAGATGAAGTACTAGAAGTCGAGAATGAGAAGAGAGTACATATGGTAATGCGATATAGGGAAGCACAAAAAGCTATGCAGTTGACACAGGAGCATAAAACTGCAGCAGATAAGAAGCACGAAGAACATCTGAAAGTAAGTTCCTATTGTATAACAAAATTATATTATGATGGAGGTGTTATTTATCTTACTTTCTGACGATTGTAGGAATATCTGCAACTTCGAGAAAAGAGAAGAGCGATCGGA